ACTAATGAGTAACAGATCCAGTTTTGTACAGGAGATAATTTTTAGCATATGGATGATAACTGGATCTATTAGTATTTAGAATTCTATTCAGAAATTTAAAAAAATTCAATTATTATCATCCACAAAATCTCCAATTATCTTTAATACGTAGAGAAAAACTATTTTATAATAAACAAAATTAATATGTAAAATAAAAACAAATTGAGATGCCAACTAAAAGAAACAACGGGTATAATTTTTTTAAAGCTATTCAATTAATTATCTTAAATGAAGTAATTCCTAAAAGGGACAGATTACAAGAAAATTTTTCAAAACGTTTTAATGTTTTATTTTTTAAAAGTATTTTTATGTTCAGAAATTACATTGGTGATTATTTAAAGCGTTAAAATTATAAGCATTTCTTAAGACAATGGACAATGGTTATGTTTAGCCATCTGCTAGAATGTTTAAAAATCAGTTCCATGAACTTAAAAAAAATGAATTTTGTAAAATTCTTTAGATTAAGCCTTTGCGATGTGTGTAGAAGTAATATTTTTTAGAATTCATAAAGTCAAACTTTACAGTTCAACCTCAAAGTTTTCCCTCTACTGGCAAAGTGATAAGATACTCTAATTAAAACTAGCTAATTGAATATGTGGCCTTCTGAATTTTTTATATAATAGGTAGTTTGAATGCAGAAAGTCCTGATAATTGCCTCTGTCCTTTATTTGCTATGTATAAACACCCTTGCTCCTCAAAACCATCACCTTGATGTAAGGCAAAAATGTTAAAGATTTTTTTAAGAGTTGTGTCTGCTGAGTGGTAAATTTATTAGCACTTTTTTTTTTTTTAAAACTAGCAACTTGAAACCCACAAAATATATTTATCCTATACATAACTGACTGGAGGTTTTTATTTTTTATCCTAAGATATTTTGAAAAATTTTTCTAGATTCAAAAAAATTCACTTCATTTTCTTTTTAAAAATGCAATATAAGTTAATTTGTATCCGGTTGATATTTGTTTAAAATTACAGTTTTTTTATGTTTTAAATCCTAAAGTTAATAGTTTATTTTATAATACAATGTCAGCATGATTGGTCTCACTACATACAAGTCTATGGGTTTCTCTAATCAGAGCCCTTTTCAACATTTATCTCATAAAATAGACAAAATATTGAAATACCAAAAAATAATCAAATCTATACAAGATGTTTTGGTAAATATATTAAAGTATTTTTAACACAGTCTTTACATACCAAGGACTCAGAATAAGGTATTTAGCTGGCTAAGATATTAATATTTGTAGCAAATGACATACCATTAAAAGTGTGGACATTTTGAAAAAATCATTACTTTGAAATTTATTTGTAATAATTTCATTAAAGAAAAATCATATAACTACCCATCTTCTTAAATACTAACAAGAAATAGTATTCATTATTGACCAAAAGCTGTAAAATTGTATAAACCAATGACACTTTTTGAAAATTCTTATTTTCCTATGCCAGATCACCTGAAATATCTTACTAGCAAAAACAAATTCCTAAAGCCAAAGACTTCATTATAACTTGAATGCTCTTTGTAGTTCAAGAGGATTGTAATACTCAAGTGAGTCCTTAATCAAAAGCTTACCATCTCTGTTCAAGTAGAGTAACAACTTAAATCTAGTATATCTATCCTCTATGAAGCAGTTGGGTTTTTTTTATATAAAATGGGGAACCTACAGTATTTACTAACAATAAATTACTGCATTTTACCCTAAAACATTATTATTCAACATACATTATTATAAAGTCACAATTGAAGAGAAATGTCATGTATTTTATATAACAATTTTAATCATGAGTAAATCACATTTAAAAAGATTGAGGCACTGTGAGTCAGAAAAGTCTGTATTTCTTTGTTGCTTTATATAAAGTCAATTATCTGAATCAAATAATATCTTGATTATCAACCATTTGAACATGATTTCACTTATTTGTTGTTCTTTTATAGTGAGCTAAAGCTGATGCAAATTGATCTTTGTTTTGGGCATTGGCTAAATGGTGTGATTTTGGGGAAGAAAGTAAATGTTTTCCATAAAACTTCTTTAATCATCTCATAGAGGTAAACGTACTTAAATGCTAAATACCTGACCTTTTTGAATGAATGCAGACCTACCTTGATTTCCACAATAAGCCTCTATTTCCACGAGACAATGTTTTCACAAATGTAAGGCAAAACAGATGTTAAATTACTTAACAGAACTCATAATTTAAATAATTAAAACTAATTTGTGTTTAAAGCTATTTGCAGATTTATTAGAGAAACAAATACAAATATGCATTTCTACAGAACTGTTTTTTTTTCCAAAATGAGCTTAAAACTTGTTCCACAGTTTTTACTTGCTTATATATCTATGGTAACCCAAGTATTGGCTTCTGTACCACTTGTAATGAGACAATTGCCCTTCCATTGCAATTATAAAAAACTATTTAAAAAAAAAATTCGGCACATACACATTAGTTTTCCTTAAAAAAA